GCGCTATGCATGCACATGTACACAGTGAGACGGAATTTTTACGTAACTTTTAATTAAGAGAAATATTTTCTTTTTCTCTGCTTTCTGCGATATCAACGTCGTCGGATTAAAGGAGGAATAATTTTATAAATGGAAGGACGTGGGAAATTGTCAAAACGAAATGCAACGTGAGACTAACTTCGGATAAACGTTCATCCCCGCAATGTCGTTTTAATCAGAGGAATAATTTACTCGAGGAATAATTATCCATTAAACTTGACAAATTATCTCGTCCCGTATATTGTCGGAATGATCTTTCGTTGTTACCACTACAACCATCGGCAGCTTTCCGATCGATTCTCGACAAATTATTAACACGTATATTTCAACCTTTGTCGAACAAACATGCCTGAGCGTAGAATATTAAAAAAAATGTTATTCACGTATTGTAAAACTGAAGCTTTCCAGCTTTCAAGCTTTCCATATCTGTTATATACTCGTATTTTTTTGAACGCACAGTTGTGTGAACATCGGTGACAAAAGTGACTGGCACGAGACATTTCGACTAAACGATAAATGTTCTTTTCAGAATTATTTCACGTTGCTCGTATCGTTAATAATTCGTTTATACGTACGGTGCTATACTTGCCGTCTAACGTTTCACGCGGGTACGCACTTAATCGGTATCGGCCAGATCCGATTAAAATTGAGTAGCGACAGTCGGAACGAAGTGTTCGAAGGCAACCGACACAATAATGAACAATTTAAAATTTCAAACGTTGCACGATGGTTTTTTTTCGAAAGAAGAAACTCTCTCTCTCTCTCTCTCTCTCTCTCTCTTTCCATACAAATTCAAATTCAAATTCAAATTCATGGTTTGGTTGCAGATACGCCGGGAAATTTGAGATTGGCTCGGTAGGCGTTGTGGCGCAGCGGACCAGCCAGTTTATCTCTCGATCATTCCGCTCGAAATGCCCGAGCGGGTGTGGTACCGGCCCCGTATTCGTTGGGATCGGTCAGCTAGCCGGTTGTAACGGAGCTATAAGATCTGCTGTTCCG